GTAAGATGGTTCTTTCATGATTATTTGGAGGAGCTCCATAGTGATCTGGTTTTCTTACATACTGGCATTATTTACTTATTTTTTCTTGAAGGTGAGATTATGTTAAACTCTCAATCTAGACCAACTCCTGTGGACCCAGCTTAGGTGAACCTTTTTCAGTTGGAAGGGTATTAAGCAGGCTTGGTTGAGAAGACTGCCCCGCATTTTTTTTTTTTCCTCAAAAATGACAGCGGATATTGCTTGATCTAGACTCAATACAAATCACATTGGCTCCACTGATGTAATAGTAGATCAACTTTTGAAAAATGAATTTTGTAGTCAAACTGATTTTGGCACTGCAGGCCAACAAACGGCACAGATTCAACCCTTCAGAAGCTCAATTCAGTCTTGCCAATTGGTCCTTACAGACTGCAAAGGCAGATATCTGATTCAAGACGATATTATTTATAGCTTAGGTTTTGCAGCCTATATTACTCTCTTCCCTCCTCCCCCAAATATGTTTTGCACCATCACATGGGAATACTGAAAGCTCTCATTTCCTAGCAGTAATAATTGTAATAACACAATAATAACCATTATTAAGTCTATATAATACCACTGCTGCTATTGAACAGGAATCTAGTCTGCACCATGGCTTTACATCTGAGATATTATTTGAAAGCATCACAGCCTTAGGAGATAGATTATTATTGTGTCTGTTTTACAGAGGAGAATCCATAGGCTCAGATAGCTGCTAACCTATGGCACAGGAAAGACACGCCTGCCCAGATGCAAGCTCATCTTGAATGTTATAGGAAGAAATAAGGAAGCTGGCACACGCCGCCTATTTTCTCAAGTAGCCTATGAATATTCCAGTAGAGTCCATCTTCTAATACTTAATTAACTTGTAGACCATTGAGATATCAATCAACTTGATATCAAACAATCAATGAAACTCTTACCATCAAGAGTAGGGACAACAAACAGGCAAATTTAACTAACCACATCAAGTTCAACAACAAAGAAGTGGAAGAAGAAGCAAAGGAAGAAGATGACACTGGCCAAAAATTCTCCATAGATGGTAGATAGTCTCACATCTTCATTGGTAAAACAAATATCTACTGAAAAGCTACTAAACATGTCCAGTGGTTTTCTAGGTACTGAATGAAAAGAATAGGAGGAGAAGTTATATAAACAAAGTTTGGTTCCGCTTCACTCTCCAAGCGCTCTCAATCTAAAGGCTCTATGCAAGGCAGAGAAATACTGTACCATTTTAGATTAGAGCTAATTGGATACAAATACAATTCTCAAGTTTCAGCCAGCACTGGCCAAGTTACTTTCAAACAGAGGTTTAATACCCCAGGCATTCCTTATTGATAGAACTCACAATTCCCAGAAATACTGACAGTCAGTAGCCCCTAACGCTGAGATGTTTAACAGGATGTCGAATAGGCTGGTAGCATTTCACTTCTCTTTCTTACTCTGCCTTTCTCTCCAGCTAAGTGAGCATTCAGGGCTTAAAGAGCACTTGAGAAGTTACTAAAAAACAGAATGAATGGTGCACGGCAAGACCATTGCATAAAATGAGCTGATTGATTAAAGGCAGATTTCATTTGCCACATTTCTTTTTATCAAAAGACTTTGAGAAAGCAAAAATGGAAGAGAAGCATTCTATTAAATGGGCTCTACACAGCACCTGAGGGTAGAGAGCAGATTTTTTTTTTTTTTTCTCATCTAAAGCAAAGCTACCTGTTACCTTTTAGGAGTGACTGGTTTATTGACTGCTAATGCTTTAAAAATGAGATTAAATCAGGCCCATGGTCTTTATTATGGGGAAGATATATTCCCCTTGTGCATTCCAGTGGTTCGGCAATCTTAACCTCAGCAGACATAACACTGATGTATGCTGTGTTGCCAAACAGCAAGGTAAGTGTTTAAAACGCTGTGAACAGCCTTATTGCCTTGAAATGATACAATCTAATATGAGATTGTAACTCAGTGACTGAATCTGCCAGCCTATCCTTGTACAGAATATGAAAGTCAAAAGTCGAAGTCACTTTATTTTAATATCTCACAGGGAAGGGTTATTCTTCATCTGCCATTGAAACAGAACATGCCAAACTGGATCTAGATCAAAGGAAACAGAAACTACAAATTTTCAGGATATTTTCATTAACAGCACGTATGTGTGTGCCTTTCAGAAGAGGCATCAAAACACCAGCCTGATTCATTCAAATTAGCAGAGCTACCTTGTATCATGGGCTTCCCTTGTGGCTCAGCTGATAAAGAATCTGCCTGCAAAGCAGGAGACCTGGGTTTGATCCCTGGGTTGGGAAGATCATCTAGAGAAGGGAAAGGTTACCCACTCCAGTATTCTGGCCTGGAGAATTCCATGGACTATACAGTCCATGGGGTCTCAAAGAGTCGGACACAACTTTCACTTTCATCTTATATTGTGGACTATTTACAGATGGAATCTTCAGTTCAGTTCAGTTCAGTTCAGTTGCTCAGTCGTGTCTGACTCTTTGCAACCCCATGAATCTGTCTGAAGATTCTCAAATGTGGGAAAATCAAACTGTATGCTTTCTGCTTCATTTGGAGCACTCCAGGAAAGCAGTTTTTAACTTAACCTTCCGTACTTGCTCCACTTTTCATCTGTATTATTACTTTTAAAAATATTCGGGCCATACTGCATGGTAGGTAGGATCTAAAGTTCCCCGGCCAAGGACTGAACCCACGTCCTTACATAGGCAGCGTGAAGACTTAACCCCTCGACCACCAGAGAAGCCCCTCACTTTTCTCTTTAATCATCGTCATTAACTTGGACTTTGGGTTCTCTCTACACTCTACGCTCTGTCAAATTTCAGCACCCATCCCTCAGAGACCCCAGGTGGCCGAGAGCCTCAGTTTCCATGATTAAGATGCCACCTCCCATGGCGCTTGAGTTAAAGGAGAGATTCTGTATCCATGCTTCAGTCTAGCATTGCTAAAGCAGGTAGCTTTATTGTAGCTTTACCTGGGACTGAAGGAGTTCTCAGGATACAGTACTTTCAAGCGCTAAAAGAAGGTCAGTCCAGGTTAGACCAGGATGTCTGACCACTGTAAGACCAGGGGAAGACCCTGCTTACCGGGACATCTTTGACCTAGGAGAGTCTGCTCTAACTAAATATGAAAGAGAGCCCTTAGTGGGGAAAAGAAGTCAGAAAAGAGTGGCAGGAGGCTGGATTTATGTACTCACTGTTTATCTAAGAGATATAATTTTTTTTATCATCCTCTGATAAAAATCCCCCCCCCCCCGCCTTTTTTCCCCAGATTTTTCACTGTGTTGCACCTTCACCAGAAGAGTACGCGGGGAAGGGGTGGCCCTGCCTGATGGTCTGAGCACATCTTAGTGCTGAAACTGAAGCCTCATTAGTTTTCCTGGATATAGAAAAACCTGCAACCTGGGAAAGGAGACCAGTATAAATGACTACATTATGGCCTGTTCATGTCAGTGACTTAGAACTGACAATTAAGTTAGAAAGGAGCCCTGCAAACCTGTTACTTGAGGGTCTAAATTTATTTCAGGCTGGAGCCATTTGCCTTGTTTTGTGTCTAATATCAAAATTAAAAACAAAACAAAATCAAAACAGAACCAAAGCCCAACTTTTAGCTGAATCATTACTGAAATGAGTAAAAATTTAACTCCTCTCCCCACAGAACTCTTATAAGAAATAATTATGAACTGTCCTCTAACAAAAATAAATAGGGGTCCATCGACAGAGGAATGGATAAAGAAGATATAGTACACACATACAAAGGAATATTACTCGGCCATTAAAAGGAATGAAATAAAAAAATAAAAGGAATGAAATAATGCCATTTGCAGCAACATGGATAGACTCAGAGATGTCACAGAGTGAAGTAAGTCAGACAGAGAAGGAAAAATATCATATGACACCCCTTATATGTGGAATATAAAAAGAAATGATGCAAATGAAATGACCTACAAAATAGAAACAGACTCACAGACTTAAAGAGTAAACTTATAGTTGCTGGGGGGAGAGAAGGGGAGAGATAGTTAGGGAGTTGGGATGGATATTTTCACCCCCTTCGCTGTTCATCTGAAACTATCACAACATTGTTATTCAGCTATATCCCAATACAAAATAAAAAGCTTAAAAATAATAATAAAATATATGGGGCAAAAGCACTATCCATGGATTACAGAATATTCAGTACTGTTTCTCTCAAAGTCTACAACACTTCAAAATACATATAGAAGAAAAACTTTTCATCTTATTATTGAGTTATTGAGTCAATACATTATCAAGTGTAAAGATATTTGGAAGCACTAATCAAATTTTTACTTTTCATTTAGAGATTTATATATTTTAGCCAACATAATTAAAATAAAATCCACTGCTCTAAAGGCAAGAAAAAACCCAAACAAGCAAGTACACACATACACACACATGCACCAACTCCAATTTTTCATCATTCAGTTCAGTTCAGTCGCTCAGTCGTGTCTGACTCTGCCACCCCATGGACTGCAGCACACCAGGCCTCCCTGCCCATCACCAACTCCCAGAGTTTGCTCAAACTCATGTCCATCGAGTCAGCGATGCCATCTAATCATCTGATCTTCTGTTGTTTTCATCATTAGTCATTTTCATCATATGTCATTTTCATCATTAGTGACGTTGTAAGTGGAATTAATTAGGGAATTATTTTTCTCTTAATGAAAAGATCTCCCTTCAACCTAAGATTTGGATCAACCTGCAGGAAATTTTGTTTTGGAAAATCTCATAATGTCAGGTTAATAAGATTAACCTGATATTCTTCTACTATTTTCCAAGTTAATTCAGAGAAAAAGTCAACTAAGACTATGAAAAAATAAGCATACATGTTTTTACATTATTTTTTCCTTTTTCTTAAAAATATACATTGTTTCCGCAAAGATTAATCATTTCAATCTCAAAAAGCGGGAGTAAAAAGAAGAGATGCAAAGGGAAGGGGGGAAAAAGGGAATATCCACTTACCTGCTACCGCAACTCTTGCTGTGCGGCTAACAATTGACCCAGCGTCCCCTAAAGACGCCTCGCATTGGTAAAGTCCCTCGTCTGGCTTGTGGTGCCTGGAGTGAAGTATGTTTTGGATTAACAGAGACCCATTTGGAAGTTGCTGCTTCCTTTCGTCCATTCCCAAGGCGAGGTGGATGCCGTCTTTCTTCCACTTGATGACGGGGACGCCCCGGTCAGACTCGGCAGAGCAGTTCAGGAGGACATTCCCTCCGCGCATGGTGACGGCATCAGAGGGCTCGGACCGGAAGCGCAGGGATGTGAAGGACTTGATCTGGAAAGCTGGAACGGGAAAGCACAGAGAAACAGGTTCACTTCTAAAAGATCTCACGAGGCAAGCCCTGGCCTTCACAAAACTCTTTTCAAACAATCGGTCTTTGAAAAACGTGTAAGAATACGTGAAACTAAAAACAAAGGGGGACTTCATTCTTGATCCAGTAACTAAACCTTCACTTTCCAATGCAGGAGGTTACCGGTTCACTCTCTGCTCAGGCAACTAAGATCCCACATGCTTTGGGGACAAAAAAACAAAACATGAAGCAAAAGCAATATTGTAACAAATTTAATAAAGACTTAAAAAGTAAATAAAATTAAGGATGTTGTATTAAAGAAGGGAAAAAGTGTCCAACTGAGATAACCACAATTAATGAAACTATTGGTCCCCAAAGTAAAAATATGAAAAATTAAGAATTTATAGAAATCTAGGCAAGGCTATCAGAGAAGGCAATGGCACCCCACTCCAGTACTCTTGCCTGGAAAATCCTATGGACAGAGGAGCCTGGTGGGCTGCAGTCCATGGGGTCCTGAAGAGTCAGACACAACTGAGCAACTTCAGTTTCACTTTTCACTTTCATGCACTGGAAAAGGAAATGGCAACCCACTCCAATGTTCCTGCCTGGAGAATCCCAGGGACAGGGGAGCCTGGTGGGCTGCCGTCTATGGGGTGGCACAAAGTCAGACACAATTGATGTGACATAGCAGCAGCAGCAGCAGCAGGCAAGTCTATCATCACATATCAATAAATACTTGAAAATTTAGAAGAGATTAATAAAATTTCCAAATCAAACTAGATATCTTAGAGCAGTAATGGTTAGTGATGGGGCAGCTAAGATTTGAGGGTATTTCTATATCTGTATTCTGATTATACCATCCATTAAATTTAAAAAAATCCATTCAGACATGGTATTCCATTAATAACTATAACAGAAAAATAAACCCCAAACAGGGTGTGAAAAATTATTTAAAACAAAGCTCAGGTGAGTTTTAAATAGGTAAGAAATCCCACTTGCAGAAGCAAGACACAATAAAGCTACCACCTAAAGTCACAAATCGCTGATCTATCGTAACTTCCATCCAAATGTTGCTCACAAGCCAGGAAGACTAGGTGAATATTAAAGTTAGAATTATTTTTTTCATAAACATACATGAATATAAGAAATCAAGAGACAGAAGAGAAGGTTGTTTAATAATCTATAGGTGGTAAAACAAGTAGTTAGTTTAAGTGCATTCTTTCCAGGACTGGTAACACAGCATTTAGCAAAATATTTGGTTGTTGAATCAAAGATGTGGACAAGGTCTTAGGAGGTCATTGGGGCTCACCCTTTGCTCTGAAAGGTATATTCCTAAATCACTCAAGTTCAATTACTTTCTATTTCATTTTCAATGATCTCTGGGACTATAGATTCTACAATATCCCTAGGTATCTTGTTTTAATATTGAATCATCCTTAGAGGCTTAACTAAGTTTTCTTGCTTCCATTTAATCCCATTTTGCTCTTGAATTACATTGTGTAACAATGCAGAGAGAACACATCTTTGTAAGAAGAGCTCCTTGTTCTTTGGAGGAAGCATTTAATTTCTTTAAAAACATCACCTCCTCTAAGTTATGTTTTAGTTTCATTCTCCCCAGGACAATAATCATTAGCTTCCTTAATTTTTCTGTGATGAGAACAATTTTTGTTGTACTTTGTGAAAATGTTTCAGTTTTTTAATCATTTAAAAAGCAGGCATCGTTTTGAGAGAACAGCATTGAAACATGTATATTACCAAGGGTGAAACAGATCAACAGCCCAGGTTGGATGCATGAGACAGGTGCTCGGGCCTGGTACACTGGGAAGACCCAGAGGGATGGGGTGGGGAAGGAGGTGGGAGGGGGGATCGGGATGGGGAACACATGTAAATCCATGGTTGATTCATGTCATTGTATGGCAAAAACCACTACAATATTGCAAAGTAATTAGCCTCCAACTAATAAAAATAAATGGGGGAAAAAAATAAAAAGCAGGCATCTAAATCCCTTATAATCGATATTTTGATAAAGGACGGACCCATACTAGCCCCAATGGGCAGACATAGTCAGCTTTGTATCCTTCATTTTTCAGTGAAGATAAAGCTGAACAACTTCTTACTGCGTCTCCATGGTGTTATCTGCCATGCTCCTACAAACAAATTTTTTTCTGAACCTCACAGTCAAAATAAGTCTGTTACTTTACTTCTTCTGTCAAAATTTGCCCATCATTCATTGTCATACACTCATTTCAGCCAACTAGGTCATGAACCCAAAGAAAGCAGCTACAAGTTTGCTCAGATGAATATAAATTGTAAGATAATAGTGAGCATTGTGTCAACCATAAATTATAATGGCAAAAATATCCCCAAAGGTACAGTCTGCTCCCCTCACTGTCCAATACAATCATCCTGCCCTAGACTGTTTTAGTGGTACCAACATAATTATCACTGCCCATTCCTCTAGTGGAAAGCATTGGTATACTACAAGAGGAGTCTGGATATTTAATCCTTGGTCCTGGCTTTATTATTTAAAGATGTGTGGCTCAAACAAGTCTTTTAAGTCTTCAGAAGCTCAGTTCCTTCTATGAAATGAGGGTGTTGAACTAGATGATCTTTAAAGTCAATATCCAGTTTGGAAACTTTCAGAAGTAAGATGGGTCGAAGATATTCATCAAATGAACACGGCTCTAAGCATACTGAGTTGTCAACAGGGAACAGAAAGTGAGAGATACACCAAGGATGAGAAAGTAGAAAGAAGTTCTAATGCCCTCAAATGTCAAGATATTTCACTAGAGTAATACCTGCAATTTCCATACAAGTAGCATTAATAAAGCAGAAATAAATTTAGAATTCAAGACCAGGCAACGATATTAAAAAGCATTTATTGCTTTTTTGTTCTTCCCGGGGCCTATATTTTAAACAACAACCTCATGCTGAACACCTTATTTATGTCACAGAACACATAATGAATTTAATGCAGCTGTTTATGACAGCATGTTAATGAGCATATGTGCCCATTATCACAAATAAATAATCTACTTCATCTGAAACACGGAGATTATGACAGTTTTCAGTGCTTGAGTACATAGTTTAGGAAAGTTAAATAAAGATTAACTTTTTCTTCAATACAGTTACCCCTGCAGTTGGCTGGCAATTTGAGCTTTTGTGCTCCTTGTAACAATCGCATTTTGAACATCTGAGTCTGGGATAAAGGTGTCTCACTGCTTTAAGCAAATTGCATTAGTTCCTTCATTTTTAGAAAAGACGGACATGGTCCAAGAAAATATAATCTATTGAGAAATAATAGGTTTGTTTTCAATGATCCTGGTTTCAAAGTTTCAGCCCATGTTAGGCACAAGCTGTCTCCATCTCCTTACACAGACTCAGGAAATGGCTCACTGATAATTACACTGAATTCAATCTAAGCTACCCTCCTCCCTCTTCTCACAGAATACTAGTTCCTCTGGGGGGATTTGCCTACCAGTTATCATTCCTTATGGGCTTCCCTGGTGGCTCAGATGATAAAGAATCTGCCTGTAATATAAGAGACCCTGGTTCAATCCCTGGGTTGGGAAGATTCCCTGGAGAAAGGAACAGCTACCCTCTCCAGTGTTCTTGCCTGGAGAATTCCATGAACAGAGGAGCCTGGTGGGCTACAGTCCTTGGGGTCACTGAGAGTAAACACATGACTAAACAACTAACATTTTCACTTTTAACCCTCTCTTATCTTATGGAATAATTTTATCCGATTGTTTTATCTAGAAACCAATGTGAATTCAACTACATTGATTTAAAGCAGGAACAGAGAAAGAAAAATATTAAAACTGAAGAAAACAAGTAAGTAGAAAGAACATATGGAAGTTGTCATGCAAAGAGCTGTGGCAGGACTTGGGCCAGAGTTTGATGAGGGTAGGCTTCCCCGGTAGCTCAGCTAGTGAAGAATCTGCCTACAATGCAGGAGACCCCAGTTCAATTCCTGGGTCAGGAAGATCGTCTGGAAAAGGGTCAAGTTACCCACTCCAGTATTCCTGGGCTTCCCTGGTGGCTCAGATGGTAAAGAATCCGCCCGTGATGCGGGAGACCCGGTTCAATCTCTGGTTTGGGAAGATCCCCTGGAGGACGGCATGACAACCCACTCCAGTATTCTCGCCTGGAGAAACCCCATGGACAGAGGAGCCTGGCAGGCTGCAGTCCACGGGATCACAGAGTTGGACATGACTGAGCGACTAAGCACAGCGCAGAGATCCCCCAGGAAAGGGGTGGAAGAGATAACCAGAAAGCAAATGCTTTTAAAGAATCAGAATAAAGCTACCCACTTTACAATTCTACAGAAGCTTTTACAGTAGAATAACAATGGTAGTAATTTCATCCAGAAGAAAGCGAACTAGAGAAGTTTCTTTGCTGTGTTTTGGTTTTCTCTTTAATATGCCAGTGGTCATTCTACTGAACCATCAAGTAGTAAGATTTTCCAGCCTTGCTTCATAAAATAAGCAATCCTTTGGGCCTGCTGTAAAATTATGTAAGGCAATTATATTTGGAGAGATATACTTGAGAATACCAAAAGTCCATCCCCTAAGAAACTTGGACTCCAGAGACTGATACCAGAGTTCATGATAAGAATAAATGAGGTTCCAGCCCTCCTTCCCTCCAAATTCTATTTTGGGAAGATTCCTAAATCTTCCTTAGGTAGCATTTAGGCCAAGAGCCATATATGCACTTAACTAACTGGTACTGTTTCTTATTTGTGTCAGTCTGAGAAAAAGTAACAGAGTGTCATATTGTTGTTGGATATTATTCTCTTTCTTCTTCTTCTTTTGAGAAGATACCAACAGAGCAAAACCTTCAGTGTTTTCCTAATGAAGACATAAAGGAAGGTTCACTCTTAAGTGGGCTTCTTCCCCTTTGGTTGGTTCAGATGGTAGAGAATCTGCCTGCAATGCGGGAGAGCTGAGTTCGACCCCTGGGTCAGGAAGATCTCCTGGAGAAGGCAATGGC